AGCCACTGAACTGTCGGCTTAAGATTTTGCTCAATGCTGTAGCCCAGTATTGGAGGAGAAGTTGCTATTACCTTCGCCACTTGAGCCTTACTGAGCCCCATGTCCACAAGCCATTGTATAGTTGGTTGCAGTGTGCCACCGATGGAAGTTCCACTCAATGGCGCACGCGAATCCAGAAGTTGAATCGCTCGTGTGCTGAAGCCGTTGGTTTTCAAGTAGTCTTCCACCTCCTCTGTTGTGTTCCCACCCCTCAAAGCTACAGCCTGTTGAATGAATGCATTTGCCCTTGCTGAGCCTCTCATTGAACTGCTTCCGGCTTCAACACGCAAACAACTTGCCACTTGACGGGGTAGAACCCGTTCAAGCCCCAGCACTATCTTTTTCAAGACTTCTGCTAGGGTCTTTTTAAGCGATCCCCGATTTTTGGAATGCCAACCACTCACCCCTATCCTAAGAAGCTGGTCTTTAAGCTGCCTGCTGCTGTTGGTGTGCGTGATCCGAACAACGCATGACCCTGGAGGTCCATACTCTAGGAGCGCTTCCGTTTTGCTCCGGTCTCTGAGTTTGCCTTCCCTTTCCCCATGCCGCCAATACCCGTCATATTCCACAAACGAGGCCGCAGTCTCATCCCTCAACACTCCATAGGCGGTCAAATCTGGCTCCAAATAATGCCCGCTCCAACCTTTCGGTGATGGAAAGCTCCGGAAAAGCTCCTCAATGGGCGTCTTCGGCATCAACAGCACTGCCAAATGCGACAACAACTCCGCCTCGGCCACGCTGTCAACGCGTTTCCTTGGCCATCCACGTTGCCACCACACCGGTGGCACGTTGCCGCTTCTGGAAGCCACAAGCGCCGAAGCAAGCAGGGCAAGGAGCCACGGGCATCGTGAATTCCGGAGCCGTGGGGCCACGGGCATGTTGGGCATCTGCGGTGCTTTGAGCTGAGGATGCCTTGATGGATGAAAACAACCGTGAAGTGAGATATAATTACAAACCTTCGATGCATTCGGTGCATGAACCAACAAGAGGAAAACCGGACATCGGACAAAGCATCTGTTCATCCACTAGATCATCAAAACAGGCCGACCAAATGAGGGAGCTTGTGCCTTTGTCAGTGTTCCACACTTTCCTAGTCATTGTCATGGATTTACATGGATTTACTTGAGGATCCGGCACAAATAAAGCATACTCACCAGACGAGAATTCACCCATCACCTGATCTGCCAAACCAAGATTTGATTAAGGATCCGGGACAAATAAAAGTAATATATTCACCGGAAGAGAATTCACCCATAGGGAGAAAAAATAATCACCTGATCCACCAAACCAAATAGTCCTTTGCAGGTGGGCCGGGTCTTGGCCCATCAACATCTGCCATGACCACGCAAAAGCCCACTGCAGCTCAAGTTGGGAGATTGAGCTCCCAGTGATACATTCGACATGTCCTTAGGAAGGCTTGAAATGGACGTGGGGCATGTGACACATGCCACACATCTAACACCTGGCAGTGTGACGTGAGTACCTACTTATACTTGCGCATTGGACAAGCCATCCACAAATTCAAGGTCTCGTTGCAGTGCGGTGCTTGCGGAGATGCCATCGCCCAGCAGTTCCGGGACAGAAGACTCGAGCTGAGCCTGGGGCGCTGGCAGTCTGGCCGGCCTCGTCCAGCACTCCGTATTACTCTTGTCTGCTAGTCTCCGTGCACAATGGTCCCCATTTTATGTGCATGGCTTTTTCATGAACCTTGTTGTTCTATTGCTTATGGGGTCACTATATGCCCCCTTCGTCCAAACTCCACCGTGTTCACAACACGGTTTGATGGGGTTGACCTCTGGCATGCGTCTCAACAAGCCATTCTCCGAAGATTATATATACAATTACCTCCGAGAATGTAAGTATGTACCAAGCATTCCGAGCAAAATGACGTGATATTAACATGGCGACTCATAAGTGCGTGGTCCCCTACCTTTGCAAATGACAGGACCCAACCGCAAGCCTTGAGAATGGGCTACTCTTTGGCAGAACAACTCAGGAGATCTCAGGAGAAAAAACGGAATCCCCGTGTTGAAGGATTTGTCATTATGATTTGTTGTTGGTCTCCCTGTCTTGTTTTGAACTTGTTCAACCCCTATTGCTTCCACGAAGGCCCTTCTCGCTGCGGATCTGAGGGGCGGAGGGCCCCAGACGTAGCCACTGGGTGCCGTGATGCACAGGTTCGTGGAGGCCCGAGCCGCGGAGGGCACCAATGACTCGGTGTGAAGAGGCGATGGTGACTCAGGTGTAGCTGGGAGGAGAAGGTTTGAGGTGAAGGTCTGAAGGACGGTTGATGCCTGACATGTCCAAGCTCCAACGGGGTTGGTGTATTGTGTTCCCAGCTGGCTCAAGCTTCATCAAGCTTCAATTGAGGAAGGTGGTGGCACATGGAAGGGAGAAGGCTTCTGACCTTTTTCTGAGCAGGCGGTTGGTGCCTGAGGATGGATGTTGATCATCAAGACCCATGCAATTTTCAGAACATGGGTCCGGCCGGGTGGGCCTGCTAACATGAGAGGTGCTAAATATGTTGGTGCAAGTGGAATTTGTGACAAGGTCTATCAGGAGGTAGTCGAACTGAGAAGATCTCAATCGCCAGTCTCAAACAGCCTCCAATCGTCTGCTCAGGTGTGAGGTTCAATAGGAATCAGTAGGAGAATGATATGCCACCGGTTCACAAACATTGATCTGCTCTTTGCGTTGCAGGATGACAGTCTTGGCTCTACCGGGCTGCTAGCAGGTTTGAACCTCCCAAGTCCGAATTAATGAAAGCACATCCCCAAAATCACTAAGCACATCCCCAAAATCACTGGCCCCTCTCTCTCTCTCTGTCAGGCGGCCAAGTACAGGATGGACATTCCAGAAAGGCTGAAAGGCCGTGCGTCGGGCAAGGAGAGATTCACCTTCGCTCGCGCGATCCCAGCTCGAGCGCGGTGTGACGTTTGGAGGGTCGAGAGAACACCCGAACGGGATCCGGAGCCGAACCTAGTGTGGAGCGATGTGAGCTATATCGTGCGGGAAGTCTTTGTTGGTCCAAACATGGTCTAAAACATGAAGAACCTGACGCAAGGTAGAAGAAGGGGGGTGGCCTGAGGATCACAGGAGCATTCGCAAACCCTTGTTTGACACAGCCCCAACATATAATAGTAAAATCAAATAACATCAAAATAGGTTTTGCCACACGGAACAAAGGCGCTGAGCTCACCCACCCTGTCTTTCAATGTCCCCCCGCCTGCAAGCTTTCATCATACAACGCCCAACCAGGGGAGTCTGGACGGTCTGGATTGAAGGCAGCCGCGAGGGAGCCATCGACGAAGCCATCGTCCCAAGTGAAAATGTAAAAGGAATTCTCCTCGGATGACTCCCGAAACCGTTTCCTCCGAAAATCAATCGTGGACGGTTTTTACGGATGAGGCATACCGCAGCATCGGCATATCCCTACTCTGGTGCATGGAAATGATCCTCTCCATGCAGCAGTGGATGCTACGTTTTTCATATGGGTAACTCCGACTCGTCAAAGATCATGTCCAAAAAAGAGCGGTTTCACCTCTCTGTTCTCTCTCTCTCTCTCTGTATCTACTCATGAATGCCCATGAGCACCCTAACACTCTTTAGTCTTAGGTTGGACTATATCAAGGCTCAGTGAGGGTCAACAAGTTGGATAATTAGTCTTGAATCCTAAATGGGAAAGCACTATCACTATCCTCCCTGTCCTTCGTCTACCTCTCTGCAGGGGGCGGCTGACATTTTCAGGCTGATGGCTCCTGCAAGTGGTGATTGTCTTTGGACCGTTGGCATTCTGGTTTTAACAAAACAATGCGAGTTCATACAGTAACCTCCATAAAGCACGATCAAGAACGGACATAAGGAACCATGTGCTACTGGACATCTTCATTTGATGTGTGTTTTAACCAGCATGATTCCACCACATCCTTGCAATGCCAACGGCAGAATGGCTCCAAGCCAACTTCACCTTCCCATTATTGTCATGCTTGGCCAAAAAATGGCCTTCGCCGGCCTTCCATAAGGAGGCACCAAAAACGGTCGCGGTCTTTGACCCGCGGAGTGTGCAATGCAGAAATAAGGCCAAGCTGTACAGCCAAAAATGGCACCAGCCTCCAAGTCAAAGACCCTCACCAAACAGGGTATGAACATGCAAATTGCTTCTCTGCACCAGCAGCTTCCGGTCATTTGCTTCCAAGAAGTCACCTGCAAAAGCAAATAAATCCATTGATCTCAAGACTCAAGATCCAATTTCCACAGTATGTCAGCTAGTATATTATATCCGCATGCAAATCCTCTGTGACTGCTTTGCAGTCCTTTCTACTTGCTCGGGGGCCATTGTGAGTTCCCCAAGTGAATTTCCAGCCAGTCCATGTCGGGTCAAGTTCCGCAACAAACTCCAAAACGTCACATCTTCTTCAGCAATCTGTTCATTGGTCCAGTCGGGATGCTGACCCAAATGTGGGGGTGACTCTCTTAGCCCCAAGAAAGTGGTCACCACAGGCCTAGAGCTCCGAGCTTGGAGCCTGCGCGTTCGCTGGCGCCAGCGCCACGTGAAACAGGCTGTCGATGAGGCGCGCGATGTGGGGCGCATTCGTCCAATCACTCTTCCATCCGTGGTCGCCCTGGAAGGAGCGCAGGATCCAACCAGGGCACTTCTCCTTTCAAGCTTCGGTGGGTGTGGTGGGCTTTGTCTCAGAAACGAGAGAAACGGCCAGAAATTCTTGGGCTCGTGTCTGACGTCTCAATCATCTGACACGAAACACCATAGAAAGTATGAAGGATTGATGATTGATTGTGGTTATGAGCCGAGTTTCGAATCTGTGAGTGCTTCCGCCCTTGATCAACTTCCCACAGAGTTCAGTCTCTGCGATGCCATCAACGACAAAGAGAGCTTCATCTTGGCTAGTCCCTGTACCAATCGCAACGGGCCCCACATTCATCAAGACCTCCAGTGGTCCGTGGAACGCGACCAAAAACGACCTCAAAACGACATGAAGAGTAAACTGTTGTAGGAAAATCATGTGAATGTACAAATGTATGTAATTAACAAGTCTTGACATGCTAGCACCATCTGGCACCAACACACACACACACATACACCTAACAACCCTATTGCAACTCTTCTTACACCCCACGCTCTCCCTTCCGTCCCCACCTCCATGGTGGAGCGCCACTCCTCCTCCCAGCCGCCGCCGCGAATGTGATCGCAGGCGTTGGGGATGGGCGACAGCAGCACCAGTGGGCCGTCCCAAAGGTGGCGTTGGATCAAGGAGGTCACCACCTTCAACTTGACGACTCGTTCGGCCGCTCGGATGTGCCCAGATGGGTTTTCTCAAGGAGATCAAGCATGAGCTTAAACTAACCAAGCTCTCTCTCCCTCTCTATTTACGTTATTTGCATGAATAGATTGTAGATTAAAAACTGTTAAAACCATACAAATTGAAATATAACTAATTGAAATATATTGAAATACACCACAATAAACATATATCAACATAATAACAGTGCATATTTATGGAACGAGAGAGAAAGAGAGAGAGAGAGAGAGATCATTGCCAAAGAGCAGAAACATCTTCAATACAAAGGCCACACCTTCTGCGTTCAACTGACCCACCTTTGAATTTTGCAAGTGGTTGGGGTAGTCATTCTCTTTGGGATGTGGAACCACTATATAAGTTTTGAGAGGAGTCCCCTTGGGCGGGTTCAGGGATCAATTCAAAGTAAACGAGGCACGTTAACGCCCTTGGAGGAAGCGATCAAAGCATCGAACTTCTCTGTCAAGGCCTTCTGCAGCAACTCTTCCTATCGGTACCGGATGTGATCCAATTCTGGAAGAAGGGAGCTCTCCTTTCAAACAGTAACATCCGCAACCCCCAGTGGTTTTTGTGTAGTGCAACATGGTCTTCTTCCAGCGTTCATCTCCTTCCGGTCAGGAGATATCACGAGAGGATGTGAGTTAATCAAGCAGCTATACCACTTTCCAGACTCAAATCCTTTGCAAAATGGGCAATTGGAACAACGCGTGCCAAGACACCACATGTGACAAACCAAAATATCGGTGGATTCCTTTCGATAATCTCTGATGTCTATCAGCCCCAAAGAAAATATAACAATGCCAAGGGAAAACAATGCCAAGTGCGACAAGCGTCCGAATCATCCAAGGCAGCTTGAAAGCCTCACTCCATGAGATTCATGGTCTCAAACATTGATTTATTCCCTCTGCAAACCAGCGTTTGTCGAGTCCATTCGGAGCCTTTGCAGGGGTGCAACTTCAGCATTTCAACTTGCTTTCATGTTTTGATCCGTCTCCGCAGGTGCTTGGGGTATATATCAAGCTCTCACCATATTTGGCTTAGAAGCTGAAGTTTCTCATCAACGGGCCAAAGCGGTCCAGCTTCAACTCCTGCACCGACCAACTCCTTAGAGGAAAAGGCGGCACTGATGGACCTGGGTTACATAGGACCTCAACATTATCAGGTTAAACTATAGGAACTTCGGACCAAATCTTGTTGAGTTGGTGGCTAGTGGTGGGTGGTTGGATGCCCTCCTCTGGCCATTTTTTGATGAACGCATCAGCTGGAACCTCCGAAGTGTAAGTATTGAGGCATTCCTGAATCAGAGAGCTGAAACGTATTGATTTAGCATTGAATTGAGGTGGCCGCCTCTCGTACCCCCAGAATGCAAAGCAGCCACGAGTCATAAGGCTTTCGTGACACTTTCGGCAAGCTCCCCATACGGCTCCATAGCTTTGCGAATAGTCTTGGGGAGAAGGGAAGCACAAGCCCCGCCCTTTCTCTGTAAGTTGTTTTGTTCATGAGACCCCCAAAAGTTGGAAAAAAGGACATAGGAGTCACGTGATAAGCACTCCAAAGCTTCTTCTTGGCAAAGGACTCCACCAATGGCCAATCCACTTCCGAATTTGCCGCGTTGATCGCCAGTAACCGCAGCTGCTGGGCCGATGCCGGCTGCACATGAAACAGAAGAAGCGCCATGCACAGAAAGCCCTTCATGGCACGAGCTGCTATACCCAATTGAAGTAAATGCCCCTATTAGAACTCGCTCTTGCAACTTGCCTCAACTCCATTCAATTCCCAGGTAGTGCAGTGGTTCACATCCATGGGATTTTCCCCCCAATAATCGTGGACCCCAGGATTGAAGATATTGAAGGGCCTTCGCCAATGGACAGCAGACATCTGAAAGACCCATGAAGATCTGTTTCCTCTTCAGATGAGCATTGATGGTGCTGATGGGGTGAAGGATCGTGGTGGTAGAAGTGCTGATAGCTTACGTCTGGTCATCATCAAGCTTGCTTGTTTTGGTCTCGTGCGTGTGATTGCCTGGTTGGAGTTGGTTAAAGGCTCAAGATGGCTTAAGCCCTGTGGCCCCGCACCAGCCAAGTCTTGAGCAGCTGGACAGCGGAGTGAAAATACGGGGGAGAGCATTCCTGTAGAGCTGTTCTCGGTGGCCTGGCGTTGTTCTAGCCAGAACATCTTGAAGTGTCACCTTGCACCAAGTAAAGACCCACAGCTGGGGCACTTGGAACTGAACTGTCGCAGGGGCACTTGGAACAGTTCCTCCTTCACCACCTTACAGGAGGACCACCTTCCAGGTGACTGGGGCACTTGGAACTGCCTAAGGTTCCTCCTTACAGTCCTTACATCTCTTAGCCGTGTCTCGGAGGCCGTGGCGGCCGTGGCTGGATTCTGCACCGAAATGTCGAAACCATAGAGGAGTCCAGGGACCAGCTTCTCCTGCAGCTGAACCTCAGTTCGGACAGCTTCATGCAGTTTCATGTAGAAACACATACCGAGTTGTTGCCAGCAGGTTTTGGTCCAAACATGTCCAAAAGACAAAATATGGAACCTTTGGAATTTTTTCCTGGTTTAAAGAGAGTGAGGACATGTGAGGAGGGTTTTACCCCTGTGCGTGCATGCATGTGCCATCATGTGCCCACACAAAAGTTTCATCCCAGTTTCTAGCCCGTCAACAGGAAAGGAGACAGAACACGTTGCTTGTTCTTGGATTCAGTGTGTGGTTTAATATCTGGAGATGATGATGCCTAGCGGGGCCGTATGCCTCAAACCAATCAAATACGTAGTTTTTGAATGTTTTTGAAGCAAAAGGAGCCGTCAAGGCCAGTTAGTTGGTAAGGGATGTGCACATCATTGTGCAGCCTTTCGGAACCTCCAGGAGCTTGGGGCAACGGTTTATTTTGAAGAGCCTATCCACATTCCAAGATTCCACAAGATTTAGCTGACCTTGTTGCATCACTTCTAATGAAAACGTACACAACACACAAACAAAGATCAAAACCCTGGCACTGACTGCTAGGCCCTACAAACTTAAAGGCCCACTTGGAATGAAGGGACAGCATCGTCTGTGCAGCCGGGGGAGGGAAGGACTGATGTAGCACCCATTGAAAGCACTCGGCCACGATGTCTGGCTCAGAAACTGGGAGGAAACATCCACCGTCATCGTTTTTTTCCTCAATATTATGCATCTTGAGCACCCAAATTGTGGGGGACCTAATTTGACGGAACCTTGGCCCAAAACCTCTTCTCCAAGCAACCTCATCCAAGAGCAGGTGAATGAGCCCCCAACAGGAGTCAGGAGCATCCAAGAGCCGTGTGAATCCACAGCAAAAAATATATATACTACCATCCTGGAGTAGATACAGAATATTGGACCAGTCGCCCATTGGTTTTTAAGCTTTCCATATTCTATCTACTCCGGGATTACTATAATTAATTATATACATGTATAATGATGTATAATATTGTATAATGCTCGGAGTTAGTACAACAGCACCAGTTCCAATACATGTTCTGTCACTTACGATCCGAATGAACCTGGCACCTGCACCGGCAACTCTCTCTACCAAGAACCCATTTGACCCCTGTTGTAATGGGATTAAACACACGCTTTGGGTGGTTGGTGGTCAGGCATAGAGATCATTCATGCAGGTTCTAGATACCAGGACCATCCAAGAGGTGCCTATAAATAGCCTCTTAGAGATAAAGGGGGTGTCCAAAAACCACCAGACTTGGAAGGTCCTGGTATATACGTATTTCTACCAAACCGTTGTCATGCCATGTCCATCCAAGGATCATGCGCCCGGTTCAAGGTGGATGAAGTCGACCGAGTACACCTGCCGTCGACCTGAGCGGGTTCCGATCTTCATGACCTGGAGGCCAGAGTGAGGTCTATGAGTTGGGTCTATCCCATTACCTGCACCAGATGATGGTTACTAGAGTTACTAGAGGCCTTGTTCCAAAAATAGTGATATACTGACACTTACAGGTACAGTCATGGGACAAACCCAATAGTATAGAGAGCATCATAAATGCCCAACTCAGATCCTTGCTGCATCGAGTCCGGCTCTCTTCGCGCCGGTGCGACCGCCTTTCTTGTGGCTCTCATGGGTACCCAAACCTGGTATGAGATTCCTAGTTACAGAAACACCTGAGTCACTGGGAAACAATGGGTTCTTCTTCTCCAAGTTGTCGTGATGTACTTGGGGAAGCTGGACCTTTCCCTGATGTTCTGTCAGTCCCCAGCTAGGGCGAGGGTGTATTTAAGGTCCTTTGGCAGAAAGCCCCTTGGAAACCAAAGCGGCTACAGTGTTACAGGTCTACAAGTGAACAGAAGGACATGGTTGTTTACCGAGGGTGCATATTCCAGAGTCATTGGCAAATGTGGGCCTACTGAGATGGATTGCACCTTCATTGCAAAGCTACCCCGTCTGCTTTGTCTTCTTTGCTTCTTACACTCCCCGGAACTAACATGGAAGTGGAGTTCACCCTCTAGCTCTTAGAGCAAGATGGCCTTCCAAGAGGCCATGCGTGGCCATGCGGTCCACTTCCATGTCAGTGGGTATCATTGTATCATCCTTCCATCACACCTGCACCACCAGCCACCGCCCTCCCTGAACCTCCTCCCTCTGCCCAGCCACCGTGTCACCGGGACATGGCCACCGGTCCGCCACGCAGCGCACAGCCGCGCTCTGCGCCACGGGAAGTCGTAGGGCCCAGGTCTCCGCGGACTGAGCCTCGTAACCTGACTGAAGATTGCGACGTCAGCGTCATGGGACCATGAAAATCGGTCGAAGTCAGCGTCCGATTTCACGCAAGCATTTCCAGAAAAACTGGAGAGTGAATGAACTCCGGACACGCATCTTGTACGTTTTCGCCTTCATGCTCATAGCTTTTGGTTTGTGGCGTTCCATCGTTTTTGGGGACAAAAAAGGTTCAGCGACAGAATCAATCAAGCAACTGTGCCTTGTCCCGAACTTGTTGAGCCACTCGGTATGAACAAAGCAGCTGACCTACACTCCCTGAACTCATCCATGAAAGTGGAGTTCACCACCTGTTTGGTATTCGGAACATGGCCATCCTCGCGGGATCATGCCACCCACGTAACCATCATAATTCCGGGGAGTGTCAAAAACAGCCGAACGCTTGACGCTTGACCTCAAGAAACCTAGGACCCAGGACCCAGGGGAGGTCATAAAAAGCTAAAAGCTGGTTGCCTTGTGCAACTTTTCGTGACCTAGACCAGGACCCAGAGGAGTTGGCTGGTTCATCAACAGCTATGCAAGGTCTTCTTGCACCGAGCTGGCTTGGAGGAACATCCTCTCCTGCCAAAAATGCGCCGAAGGCACGTGGAAGCCACCAATCTCGCAGTTCACATCCTCAGGCAGCGAGACAAAAGAAACGAGGTGATTGAAAGAGCAGATCTTCAGGAGATCCTATAGGTTCTGAACCTGCCCGGCACCACTTGAATAGCATGCGGTGTCATGCCTCTCCAAATCCTATCAAATCCTGGGATTCGGGAGGTGAGTGAGAAGGAAGTTTGGAAGTTTGCTTGCTGGCCAGGGAGTCTATAAGAACACACCTGACACCAACGAAAAGAAAAACCAGTGTCGCTCACATACCATGGCAAGACTAGCATACACTCCAGTGAACGTGCGGATTCGCCTAGATCCCTTCGGGTCAGCTTGCTGCAAACTACTTTTTTGGGGGGAGAAAGGAGTTCGGAACCAGAAAACAACAACCGTTCGATTATGATAATCTTCTGCTGGCCGTTGTAAACCGGCATGTGACGTAGAGGCGTGATCTTCCGAAAGGCAATGCCTTGGGGGAGGTGCTTGTGGCAAGCCACACGACTATAAAAGGCCATTAAAAGCATGTGCATAGGGCTTGCCATTAAACCAGTTGATCATCCTTAATCAAGTGCCGCAGTGTGGTTTCAGGGATCAGTCTGGCTATGCTTCGTTTTCTGTTGTCTGACTCTCTCGGTTTCCTGGAAAATACATTGCAACCCTTTTCCACCTGTTTGTCTAGTGGGGACACCAGTCCCCAGAAGAGGTCAAAGGTTGTCCACTGACCTGTGTAGGCTTAATTAAGTGATATAAAGTGTGTTGACCAAGCTCTCTTGCGTGAGCCACCACTTGAGCTTCGCACTAAGGTTTCTGAGAGGAGATTAGACCGAATCAAACTTTTGTTTCTGACCTGTATGGAGACCTTTGGCTTTCCGGAAGAGAGAACATAAACCAAAAAAACACAGAAACATTGGTTGGGGCTCCCATGGAGTCCCCCTATTCAAACGCACACCCATTTCTGGCATCTCACCCACATGCACCAGTCGAGGGACCCTGGAAATCAAAGGCAGCCGGAGCGTCCAGGACGAGCCCTTGAGCTGGCTGTGTGGGCCGGAGGCTCACCGAGAGCCAATTCCTGGGTTGGGCGCCCGGTCCTCCGCCAGTCTGCGCCAAAAACCAAACGTGCGGAACACGGACGGTTGTGCTGGTCGGTGAGTGACTTGAACTTTTAGTTGAAGGATGAAAGACATGCGCGCGAACAAGATCTGGGATGGGGGATGTGGACTTCACAGCTGGTGAAAGAACCCTTCCTTCCACCAAGCCTGCATCTATCTATCTGTATGTGGTTTTCTCACACTCACGTCCGCTTCCCGAAGGCACAATGATGCACACTGTAACTGCTCTGCACTGCTCTGCACTGACGGGCCACTATCGGGAGCTGAACACGTGTTCAGCTGCGGCACCGAGGCCTACAAGGCCCAGGCACAAAGCATTGTAAGACATCGAAGATGGCTGCACAATCGGCCGCAAAAGTCCTCAGCTCGTAACTTTCGACGAGATCACAGAGATCATCGGGGAATTCCACGCCATGTTCCAAATGATCAAGCTTTGGATTTCCAATGTTCCTTTCGTTTGGGTGTTGTTGTGTCTTTAGTTCTTTTGGTTGACCATCCGAGCAATTGCATCCAAGCAAATGCATCGCTACAGCTCTAAAGCTCTCAAGGCCAAGTCATGGTGTACCAGTTTTGTCGAGTCGTTGACCTGTGACCGACTTGGGAGTGAGTCATCATCCCATCACGGACCGCCCTACAGGTCAGGACCGCCTCGTACCTTGAGCTGGATGGGGTTGGATGGGGCGTGGGTCAGACCTGCAGGGGTGCACTCTAAACTTGCCTGCGCGCGGAGCGTCGTCTCGGCAATCCCCAATTTGTTTGTAGGGCTTGATTGATCGTGATCCCCTTCGATGAGGTACAATTGCCATGAACACACTCGTTTTCGATAACATGTGTTTGCCAAGAGTTCGATCCCTGGCATAGCTCTGAGCCTTTCCTACTCACATACTTCAAGCATGAATCGAAACCCTTTGAGCAGCTGCTCCACCTGGCCAAAAGTCCTTGTACCATACCCGGTACCCCATACCGCCTCGTACCGTACCCCAATGAGGAAACAAGATGGAGCCCACGAACCCGAATGCAAACACATACGTCAAACCACTGTGTATAAAAAGAGACGCAGCCGGTCAGAATCTCTTTTTCACTCTCTGACACGCTGTTGGACATCATGCGCTGGGGACTCCACCACCAAGGCAGCATGCGCTGGGGACTTCACCACCAAGCTCTGTCTTCATCATGAAGGATCT